AAAAAAAGAATTCTCTTGGTGATGAAAAGGATGTAGATGTCTACATCATCAACAGAGATAGTGAGTTTGTAGTTCAAATATCCCCTTTGTTCTAAACACAGAGTATAACAGACAAAATATAAAAAGAGAACATTGAAATATGACTCAAATACAAAATAATATCTATGTGGACAGAAATAGAAATGTATAAAATGTATAACCAAGGAAGACTAAAGCCACAAGCATGATGGGTTCTGATTTATTTTTCTATATGTGTTACCGGGTAGGAGTGGAGGCCAGAAACTTGTTCCTCCAGAGGAAAGGGGTCCAAAATGCTTTGTGCAAGTCAGGGAGTAGAATCAGGCTCAATGCTTGAAGCCAGGGGCTAGGTGGTGCTTTCCTACTTGTGCAGAGATGCTGGAACAACAAGCAACTGTCTACCTGTTGACTAAGGCTATGGCTTAATGGAAGATGAGGCTGGAAGTGAAAATTCTAAACTGCATGAAGAAATCTATTATTAAGGAACTTAACAGCTGGAATAGAATTCATTCCACTCTGACAAAGACTTTACGTATGCTAAAACTATTCAAAGAGATAAACTAAGGCATGAGTTTCATTTAAAATAAACCATCGTGAAACTATGAATCAACAGAAAAGAGAAATGAAACAATCAGGTAGATGTGAAAAATAACCAAATAAAAATCTGGAAATGAAATACCAAATGAAATAAAAAATGTATTAAATAATAAATGGGATAAACTCGAGGCTAGACAGATGAGTAAATTAGTGTTCCCATACACTGCTGGAAGGAGTATAACATATGTTGACTGTGATAAACAGTTTGCATTATCTATTCAAAGAGAAGATACACACAATCTATGGCCTAGAAATTCTACTCCCGCAGAATGGTGCGCACATTTACATCAGGAGACATATACAAAAATGTTCATAGCAGCATTTTTCATAATAGCCAAATACTGAAAACACCTCGAATGTCATCAACAATTGAATAAATACTAAACTGTGATTTCATATGGCAATGAGAAGGGATAAAAAACAGCTGTATCTAACACCATGGATGAATCTCACTAACAAAATGTTGGGTGAAAGAAGACAGATCAAGGAATACATAGTGTGACTCAGACATGCATGCACACACTCTCTTTCTCTCTCTTTTATATTTTTGATACAGTATTAAAAACATGCAAAACCAAACTCCGGTGTTTAAGGTTGCACATGTAAGTGTTAGAGCTACAAAGAAAAGTAAGGAAGTGCTTATGATAAAAGTTAGGGTGGTGTTTATCTCAGGGGAGGGGAAAGAGGCTTGATTGGCGGAGGCATATAGGGGTTCCTGGGTGTTGGCAGTGTTTTATTTCCTGACCTGTGTACAAGTTACATGGGTCTTCTCTTTATAATAATTTGTCAAGCTGTATATTAATGTTTAATGCATTTTTATATATGTCTTACATTACACAGTACAAAAAGAAGGGTTTTTATGTTTTGTTCTGTTTGTTTTAAAGAGAGAATTTGGAAATGGAAGGTAGATACTGAGAAACTCACCAGGGATGCAGCACAGAGAAACAAAGAGATTTTAAAAAAACATAAAAGGGCAGTTAAAAGACATGGAGGATGGGTTGAAAGGTTCCAATATTCATCCAATAGCAATTCCAGAAGAGGATGGAGGTAATGGTAGAGGAGCAATATTTGAGGAGGTAATTGCTGAGAATTTTCCAGATATGAAGACAGACTTGGATCCAAGTACCTAACAGGATAAATAAAAATAAATCCAAACCCAGGCACAGCATAGTAAAACTACAGAGCATCAATGATAAAGAGATAATGTTAAATACTCCCAGATAATAAACCAGATTATCTACAAAGGAACCACATTTAGACTGACATCAGAGGCCTTATCAGCATCAAAAATGGCCAGAAGGGATGTGGAAAAAATAACTATTAACATGAGATTTTATAAACATCCCTGGAATGAGGGCAAAAAAAAAAAAAAAAAACCTAAAAGGAATAGGCTTACCATTCCACACTCTTGTTTAAAGAACTATACAAGGATGCCCCTCAGCAAGAAAAAAATATAGGTGGGGGTCTAAAAGGTGTGAGATCAAAGAAATGAAATGGATAAAATAAGTCAATAAATATGATTTACTATCCACTGCAAAAAAATAGTACTAATTATAGTATGTTGAAGAAAAAGGGGGAAATGAAAACTTTCAACAAAATAACATGATTGCTGGTGGAGGTGGTAAGGACAAAGTATTCAAGGTCTTTGTCATGGTTGGGAGATTAAAAATACTAAACAACGATACATATTCTTAGATAAATATATAGTTAAATAATATCTTAAAAATTTAAAGGTACCCACAAAAGGCTCAAAATCACCAAAATAAAAAAATAGAAATGCATTTTATTGCTCCCAAATCAGCAGAGGGAAAATGAAAGAAGGCTAAAAGACTAAAGATGAGTAGCTATAGTTTCAGGTTTTAAAGAGGGTAGAAAGTAAAATTTTAATACCTCTGACTTCCAAGCCTAACAAGGGTTTATCAAATTAAAGACATTATTAAACATATACTCTGTAAACAGTTTAAAAAAGGAATTATTATGACCAAGTGGAATTAGCATGAATTTACTGAGGAAAAGCTCTACCAATCTAGTATTATTATATTCCCCACCCTGTTTTTGGTTTAATTTTTTAAAGTGCTTTTAAAATGGTTGTTCATTGCGAAAATTGAAGAAAACATAGAAAAAACAAAACACTACCTACACTGTTACTATATTGACATATTTGTGTGTATGTGTGTTGTTGTTGTCGTTGCTGAAACTGCTAGGTTAGCAGATGAAGGAAGGGACATACTTCAGATGTAGTGAAAACAACACTGGACTTGGAAGACTATAGCCCTGAATTCCCAGACTTATAAGGAAACAGATGGTACAGTGGGTAGCCTGGGCATCAAGGCTTTGTTGTCCAATAACCTGGATCTGCTACTCACTGTTGTCAAGTTATCTTGGCCATGTGACTCCAATTTCACTTTTCTCATTTCAAATTCCTCGTGTGTAAAACGAGGGGATAGGAGAGTGTAACTAAGTATGTTGTCATATGATCTAATGTTCCTCTCTCAGCTTTAAAATTTTATGAATCTAAAAATAAATTACATGAATTGAAACAAAATCATAAAGCATATGCTTGTTAAATCTCCAGATGAGACAAAACTGGAAGGGTTACAGAGTAAAGAGTGAAAAAGAATTCAAATTCAGACTATATAGAAATAGACTAAAATCACTATGATGAAATTAAACAAAGGAAGAAACAAAGACCTGAATTTAGATAAACAAAAAATCCTCTACACAAATACAGAATGGAGTGGACTTGGTTTGACAATGATTCATTTGAAAAAGAGCTAGGTATTTTTTAGCACATGCTCCTGGGGCCAATAGTACGAAGGGGTTATTAGTCTAAATTAATGAACTCTCAACTAGAGTAGCAGAAGCAGTGCTTATAGTAAGAGAAGCACAGATCACACTTGATTGAGTACAAGCCAGATTACATGTGGAATGTTATATTCCATTCTGGAAGACAATAATGAATTGCAATGCACCTAACAAAGGGAGCTCAGAACTATAAAGTATCTAGAAACCATGTGAGATCAGGGCACTGGGCCAGTTTACTCTGGAGGAAGACCCAGAAATACTTGGTAACTGCCTCCCAGTGTTAGAATGTTCTTGACAGTCAACCTAGGTCCAATGCTAGAGGTGTTATTAAGAAGCAGTTTTGGGTGCTATCTTCAAACAGAAGTTGGAAGGTTATCAGGAAAGGAGACAAGAGAGGGCTTTTCATATTGGGAGGGAAGAAGTTGAGACCAGGTGAACCCTGTCCCTGAGGCCCTTTCCAGGTCTAAGGCACCTATAATTCTAAAGTACTAATTGTTTGCTGTATAAGCAAAAAGGAAAGCTTCTTATTAATATTTATTATTAATATTATTATTATAGGTAATATAACACTTATCAAGTGCATATTCTATGTGCCTAGTGTTGTGCTAAGCATTCTCCATAGGAGGAAAACAAAGGAGGAGGGAGGGGCTGGTAGGATTTTAAATTCTGACAAGTATTAATACCTTTAATATACAGAACATGTTTTCACAAATGCTTCTATCCATAGAAAAGGGGCTTGGCGGGGGGAAAGAAATTACAGTGTTTATGAGGAGAATGAAATAAACTAATATTCTTCATGCTCTAAGCATAGTGACTAATAAATGTTTTAACTATAACTAGAAGTCTCAAACTTGTGACTAAATTATTATCAGGCATTCCAGAAAATGAGCCTCAGTACGTTTTCAGATCAGTGGTATACTTGTACATTACAAAGTAGCCATTTCAAAATTAACTGTAACAAAATGTATCTGATTAGACAAATACAGCACTACTTCTTCGATTTTATCAATAAATGTTTCTAATACAAACTTACCACTCCCTATTAACTTAGACTGACATATTCCTACTATAATTTACAAACATGTTTGAAATAAATGTTTTCAGTGATAAATAGCATAAATCTCCTCAATTTCTTTTCCACATGAAAATGTCACACAAAATTATTTTTTATGGGGAGACAAGCAAAGAGAGTTGCTCTGCCCTTTTGCATGCTGGGGCATTTTAGTTAAAAAAAAACATAGAATTTTCAAGATGAAAGAAATGTTAGAGAGCAAGTAAATCCCTTCATTAAACTTTAGAGATAAAAAGCTTATAGTGCACAGTAGCCAAGTAATAGGCACAAGTAATAGACACAATTAATTGGCATGAGAACTGAGGAACCAATATAATCAAGGTCTCCTGGACGTCCTGGCTCCCTGCTCAGTCCTAGGTTCTTTCTACTCAATCAAATACCAAGAACAAAATGGAATTTTTTGAGTCCTCTATATTAAGATTTATCAGAAAAGGTATTAGAAAACACTGTCATTTTCATTAACTTTGAATGTTTGTCATATTATCCACATTGATTGAAAAGAACTTACTTCCAATGCATAAAAAACTGGCTTGTCTCTACCGAGTTTGTAAGCCACTGTGGTGAGAAGGCCATGTTCAGAAAATACACACTGTAGGAAAGAAAAACAGATTTCAGGAGTGGCGAAAATGAAAAGATATCATGAGAATATTTTTTAAAACTACAATGGCATAGGCACAAAATAATGCAATCAATAAAACAATTTAAAAAATAAATCTTAACAGTCAAAATGATCAGAATTAAGTACCCACTTAAGCTGCACAAAAATGTATTCCTTATTCTAAATTAAATTTGCTTTAAGAATCTAACAAAGTCCCACTACAAATTTCCCACCAACACAATTAAAAGCACACATATAAAATTCAAAGAACCTAAAACGGTTCTTACCAGAACCATTCAAATTTTTATTGAGTTCTAAATTAAACCCCAATAAAGATTAAGTAAAAGCTGAAGACTCAAAAGTAACTTAATAGCAAATTATGTTCAAGCATTATTTATATGAACTTGAAGACCTTCATCAATGTTTTAATTTAAAAAAAAAAAAAACCAACCTTACGGCCTGTATTGCATAGTAAGAAACATCCTGTTCCATACCTATAGTTGGGGAGAGAATAATAATTTTATTGAAAGCAAATGATGAAACATTAATAATATAAGTGATCTAAACTGACACATAGTTTAGTACAATATAAGTTACTAAAGTTTTAGAAAAGTCCAGAAACTTAACAAATATCATATGCTCTTTATGGCATAATACTTTAAAGATCAATCTAGAATAAAATGTACTTAATATAATCTTAATGGAAAAAATGCAGGTATAATATTTTGTATTTATTCAGTCATAGCCCAGGGCTATGTTTATAAAATATCACTGAATTACAACAAATGCTATGTTCGGTCACAGTTATGTTACTCCTAATCCGCGTGAAGTGAAGCATCGATGACTAACAGTCTTTCACCAATACGGTTGGCCAGCTTAGCTCAATTATTAATACAGTCATAAAACTGAGATACGCCACTATCTTCTGGCAGGGTGAGGAGGCTAGGTGCAGAGTGTGGGAGAGGCTAGCTGGGAAACTACAAGAGTGGCGTAAAAGGGGAAGGTTATTTAAGCCTTACCTTTCCTGTTCCTCTGCAAGATAGGGCATTACAACAGTGATAGGACAATCAGAGTCAGAATGCAACGTGGCTGATAGGAAAGAACTGAATTTATTTTGTGGCAGCCTTATCAGCATAAACTTTGGACTTGGCTGGGTGTGGTGCCTCATGCCTGTAAGTAATTAATCCTAGCACTCTAGCAGGCTGATACATGAGGATCACTTGAGTCCACAAGAGTGAGACCCCGTCTCTACTAAAAATAGAAAAAATTAGCCAGGTGTGGTGGCGTGCGCCTGTACTCCCAGCTACTCGGGAGGCTGAGGCAGGAGGATCGCTTGAGCCCAGGAGTTTGAGGTTGCTGTGAGCTAGGCTGATGCCACGGCACTCTAGCCTAGGCAACAGAGCGAGACTCTGTATCAATAAAATAAAATAAAATAAAATAAAATAAAATAAAATAAAATAAAATAAACTTTGGACACTGCAACAAGTCTGGCACTTGCACATTAATGGGTAGTTTTGACTTGTGCCAGGCAGATATGCAGCCCAAACTCATACCAGTAAGGGTCACAGAGAAATAGTTTTAAACTGAGTGGGACAACAACAGGGTTGCTATGGTCACCCTTGGCTCTGCCAGAGCTCGGGGTTCCCTCCTCCCAGGCCTTGCTGTTGTGCTCTGTGCGACTGGGGTTCTAACTGTGCTGGTGACATTTTAGCAGGTGGTGGGAGAAGGGAGAGTGCTCAGTCCAGGGGCAAACAGAAGGATCCCAGCAGAAGCTACTACCAGTCAGCATTAAGTCAACAGATCCTACTGTCTGCATTTCTCTTGTGCAACAAACACAAACCAAGGAAAACTGTTTTCTGATAAACATTTTTCCAGGCACCATTACTTTGAGTAAGGATCAGCACAAGATATTTTCTCTTCTCACCCAAATATATTCTTGGCCTGCTTGATGAACAGGTGACATATTCAGTGAGTGTGGGACCAATGAATATCTAAGTTTGTAAAGACATCTGTCAAATAACACTATGTACAGGTTACAAACTAAAACATATAAATCACTACACCTTTTTACTGCCACGTGCTGAGAAAGCTATATATTTCAAGTTAATCTCTTTCAATAAATATTCATGAAAATGGAAGTTAAGTATCTGTTTCATGATTTTTAAAGGAGAAATCTGTACCCATTTAGCACCCATATAAACATTCCTATAATGAATGGCTATGTACAAGTCCTAAAGCACAAAATTAATGGGAAGGCTCCTGGCACTTAATAAAAGTGAAATCTTAAGCTAGTATACGTAATAAGCAATTAATGAGTATTTTCAATGTATGGAGAGACTTCTTTGCTATATTTAGTCCATAACTTTCAAAATAGAACACAGGCAATTATTTTCCTCCTAAATTTTATTGTTCTTTCTTGCCAGTCATCAAGCATACATGGAGCTAATCAGCATGTATGTGGTCTATCTACTCTTCCTTAACACTGTACTGTGTTCAAATATCCCAGAGAGAAGTCTGACTTTTCTGACCTCTGTAAAGATAAAAAGGTTGCTCAGTGTCCTTCATGACTATCAGATCAAGACTGAGCAGCCTAGAGGGGTGAGTCAAAGATGACACACAAGGGCAGGGCAAGTGGCCCGAGGCCAAACTGTGTCAGAGGTCTAAGACTTTCTTTATTACATAGTCAGTCCTCTGGGGAAATGAGGCAGCTAACTTAGGTGCTCTTTCAGATAAATGAAATTTAATGTTTAAATAATCCATGTTCATTCTTAAAAAATATGGCTAAACTAAAAGAAAAATTAAAATCATCCATAATTTGTTTCCCTCCTCCAAATGCTTTCCATTGAATTCTGAGCTGAGTGTCATTTTCTCTCTGTTGAGATTAACTCAATTCTCAGTCTCAACCTCTCTAATCTTTTAGGACTTTTTCTGCCCATCACTTATATCCCATTTACTTTAAAACTTTTATCTGTTCTCTGCTCAGACTCCAAAGAAATATTCTCTAGTCTTACCATAACTTAAAAACAAACTTCCCAAACCATTGTATGATCCTGTTAATCTCGCAAAATATCTACTTCTCTCACCATTCCTGGATGGTTACATTTTTGCAAAGTCTTGCTTTCTCTATTTTCTACCTACCCATGTTCCTTTTGACCGCTTGCAATCTGGCTTCCACCATCTTGAGCATTCTACTAAAATTTCATTCTTAGAGGTCACCAAATGAAGACCTAATTTCTATGTACAATGGTTCGTTCTTGGTTCTCAGCCTCCATGACTTCCTTGTAGTATTTTGTCCTGACGGCCATGTCTCCCTCTTAAATATTTCTATCTGGATTTCCACACTAATGAATAACTGCATTGCATTTTTTTGAATTCTCCATCTCGGTGTCTCCTTCTTCTAAATATTTCCTCTACCTGTATGTTTTTTCTTGGTAATGTCATCTACTCTTGTTGGTTCAAAATCACCTCTGTCAAGGGGAAATCCAAAATCTCTACTTTATACTGAATTTATTCTACATTTCCATATGTGTGTAATAAATACCCTGGCAGTACCACAAACATGTCCCAAACAGAAATTCTTCTACTCAGATCCATTCCTTACTTTGACTAAGCTTAACTAGGGTACTGTGTCCAGGAACGTAGACTACATACCTACTTCCTCTCCCTTGCCCTTCTGCAGTGCCATATATGTTCACCTACAGCCTCCCTCTCTGTTCCCATCCTTCTGAGTCCATGTCCTCATTACTGGGACCCTATAATGGCTTCATCTGTGGCCTCTTTGCCTCTGGTCCTTCCTCCTTTTGACCAAGGACTGCCATATTATTAACTAACAACTCTAGTCATCTCTGAACACCAGCTCATAAACCTTCAGAAATTTTCCACTGCCTATCAAGAAAAATCTCCTCAGCCTGATATGTAGGGCTTCACAACATGACCCTAGCCTTATTTGCTACCACTTTCCTACCCTAATGTTCTCTCTATTCTCTAAACAAAGTCTTCAATTTCCCTATTTGTATCTCTATTCAGTGTTTCCTGTACCCTCCAATATTGCTCATTCTTCAAAGCACCTCACTACTAACATAATTTCCTCCTGTTATTTTTCTTCCCTCTCTTTGAAACCCAACTGTATTACTACAAAGTTTCTTATGGCATATAAGTTCTGATTTATATATGATTAATTATATATTTGTGTTTTTTCCCCTTAGGGAGAGAAATATGCTATTTCCCTCCTCCGAACTGCAGTAGCTGCAGAGGTACTCAAGCACTCTCTAACTTAAATCCATCACTTAAGGATGTGGCTGATAATGTTAAGGGAGAGGGGAGTAGAGAGAGGAGAAAAAGCAGGCTATATTATTGCAAGGACTTCCCCCTCCCCACAAATGCCAAAATCTGAGGATACTGAGAGACATGGTAGATACCCAATAATATAGCATACTCAAGTCCCTTATATAAAATGATATAGTATTGGCATGTAACCTAACACACCCTCTCATATACTTCAAATCATTTCTAGATCACATATAATATAAATGCTACATAAATTGTTGTTATATAGTATTTTTAAGTATATTACTTTTTATTATTATTATTATTTTTTTTTTTTTTGAGACAGAGTCTCGCTTTGTTGCCTAGGCTAGAGTGAGTGCCGGGCGTCAGCCTAGCTCACAGCAACCTCAAACTCCTGGGCTCAAGCAATCCTGCTGCCTCAGCCTCCCAAGTAGCTGGGACTACAGCATGTGCCACCATGCCCGGCTAATTTTTTTCTATATATATTAGTTGGCCATTAGTTTCTTCATTTATAGTAGAGACGGGGTCTCGCTCTTACTCAGGCTGGTTTTCGAACTCCTGACCTCGAGCAACGCCCGCCTCGCCTCCCAGAGAGCTAGGTTACAGGCGTGAGCCACCGCGCCCGGCCTACTTTTTATTATTGTATTGCTATTTTTATGGTTTTTTTTCTCCAAATATTTCTATCCGCAGTTGGTTGAACCTGTGGACGTGGAACCCATGGATAAGCACTAGGTACTTGACATACAGAGATAGTACCTGATTTACTAGCATTGGTATTCCTGGCAGAGGAGGAAAGAAGGAGAAAAAGAACCTAGTTTCCTATCTTATTTCTCTTGACTCCTGATTCAGCTGCCTGAAACTCAGATTCAAAGAATGTTTCCACACTCGGGCTGACTCAAGTGCCTCTTGATCATAACCTCAGATTACCATTGACCTGCGAGAATTTCATATCCCTGTCCCCCAAAATTCTCACACTATAAATGTCACACTCTCTTTCTTTTTTTTTGAGACAGAGTCTCGCTTTGTTGCCCAGGCTAGAGGTGAGTGTCGTGACCAGCCTAGCTCACAGCAACCTCAAACTCTTAGGCTCAAGCAATCCTGCTGCCTCAGCCTCCCGAGTAGCTGGGACTACAGGCATGCGCCACCATGCCCGGCTAATTTTTTCTATATATATTAGTTGGCCATTAATTTTTCTATTTATAGTAGAGACGGGTCTCGCTCTTGCTCAGGCTGGTTTCGAAACCTGACCTTGAGCAATCCGCCCGCCTCGGCCTCCCAGAGTGCTAGGATTACAGGCGTGAGCCACCGCACCCGGCCTAAATGTCACACTCTTGCATGAGAACTGCTGACCCTGCTAGACTACAAGAAAGTTTAATCTAGAAATGTTATATATCCCATTATTAATAAAAAAATAGAACTTAACCACTGAAGATAAAATTGCTGAGAGAATTAGGAAATCCTCAAGAAAAGAACAATTAAATGTAGTCTCTTGCCTGTTCTACGGAAATCTTTCTTAACGATTTGTGGGGTGGGCAGTAAAATACATAGCTTAAGGGCCCAGCTAAGAAATGAGATGGATCTGAACACAAATATCACATCTCCCATTTACTAACTGTGTGCGATTGCATAAAGTAGTTATCTTCTCTAATTCTTAGTTTCCTGATCTATAAAATGGCAATAATAAGATCTGCATGTGGATGAAATGATATAACATGTTTAAAGCACATGGAACATTAGATGTAACACAATAGCCATTGACGGAGCTTGTGTTGTAATTATTGGTATTATTAGTATTTCAGCTTTTGAGGCATATTTGCTTCTGCTCATCAATACATGTAATTGGCAGGTAGTTTTTTTCAATGTTTAAAAGAATACCTTCACCAGCTCTCTGGGAGGGCCGAGGGGGCGATGCTCGAGGTCAGGAGTCGAAACCAGCCTGAGCAAGACGTGAGACCCCGCTCTACTATAAATAGGAAGAAATTAATTGGCCAACTATATATATCAAAAATAGGCTGGCATGGTGGTGGCATGCTGTAGTCCCAGCTACTTGGGAGGCTGAGAGAGATGGCTGAGCAGGGGAGTTTGAGTTGCTGTGAGCGAGGCTGACGCGCCACGGCATCACTTACGCTGGGGCAAGACAAAGCGAGACCTGTCTCAAAAAAAAAAAAAAAAAAGAATACCTTCAAATAAGTGTAGTTAATGGTGTAACAGAAAGAAAGAGTGCCAGACTCAGAAGGCATGGGCTTGAGATCTGGCTCTGCCTTTAAGTCAAGGCTATGACCTTAGGCAAGTACTTAACCTCTTTGAACATCCATTTTCTCATCCTAAAGTGTGAGTTACCTTCTTATTATTCTTAGATATGGGGCTTGTCCCAGATTCTACATCTATGAGTAGTAAGAAGATGAGGAGAAAAATATACCAAATCTCTACTTCTATCATTCTTTCTGCTTCTTGTCAAAGGAGAAACTTCAGTTAAGGAGGAGAAAGCATAATGCCAGGGAAATAACATTGAAAATCCCACAAAAATATGACTTTAGAGTTAGTGAGAAAGACTTGGGCAGGATCAATATGCTGAAAATTATAGTTTATATCAAGCCTCTTCTTCACCTCTTCCCATCCCTCCCCTGGCCCCACTAATCTCCCCACAAAGGCAAGAATACATTGAACCAAAATTTAGTTTCTGGGACGAAAAAGGTACTACATTTTATAAATTAAGGTCTTTACAAGCCTTGTGGGTATGTTTACATCTGGCATAATATATTTTATTTGAAGGAAATGAAAAACAAATGGTAAAAAATTTACATAACCATATCGGAGCTATTAAGCTATTGATTTTAAGCCTGGATAAACTTCAAAACCTTTCCCTCAGTCAAAGCACCAAACAGAGAACAAATAAACAAACAAAACAGCATTGTTTTTTAAGTCTGGTTCTTAAACTCACGTGTTTTTGGCTTGTCCATCCTGGAAGCACATTTGTCCCACCAATGCAGCAGATTGGTCCCCCAAACACTGAAAGTGTAAATGACAATAAGGAATACTAAGACAATATTCTCAATTTCATTTTTAGAAGAGCCATAAGATTTACTTTTCCTTTTTTATTTATCAACAAATGAATTATCTATGTTTCTTGCATTTCCTCCATTTGGCCACTTTTTTTCCCATTCATTAATACCCCTATGAGATAATAGGTATAGGAAGGGAGAATTAAAATTAATTTATTCAAAAGATTCTCAGTGGCCCATACTGAGCCACATAAGAACAAGAATTGGACAATTGTGCTACTCTTACTTGTTTTCCCTAGTTTAGAAAAGGGCAGACTGATAAACTAAGATAGAGGAAGAAAACCATAACATGGAAGGGGGTAGAGATGGGGAGACGTTTGGTGACGAAACTTACCCCAGATATTGGCACACCTTCCAAGGCCCCAGCTTTCTAATAAAATTTTAAAAAAGGATTATGAGTAATTACAAACTTTTGGTTCTACTAACATAACTGCAACAGGAATGAACATAAATAACAACGGGCCAGAGGATGTGGGCAGACAAGACAAAGCAAGTGTTTCAACTACATGAATGATACAGAGACAGATACTAGAAGTATTCCTAGAACAATAAGAAGGGACATGGCATTGTAGAATGAACACTAAACATTGGACTGGGAGTCAGGAAACAAGGGCTCTACTCCTGGTTAGTTAGTGTTAAGCCATGAATGGGCCACTGAAACCTCTCTTACACTTCAATTTATTTATCTACAAAATGGGGACTGGGCTACATAATCGCCAAAGTCCATTAGTGCTTTGCTATTATTGTCATTATTCAAAAATGATTAACATATCCTCTAAATAGCCATCCAACCAGCATGGAACATATTTATCCTGGAAGGCTGTATTTTAGCAACTTTTCTTTCTACTCAAGCTGCTGTTGACATAAATAAGAAACACAAGAGTGTTCAGGTATTAGATAGTATTTGCTTATAGCAAACGTCATTCTTCAAATTTAGATAAGCAACATATGTCATGAATAGTAATTTTTATTTTGATTATTTGGTCAGCATTCTAGGAAGAAAAGTGAGATTTAAGTGGCGAACTGTAGATATTAGAAACCAGTTTTTTTTAAAAAAACAAATAACTCAAAACAATTTTTACTGATGTTAAGGAATTAGAAAAACTAAGAAATGCAATTCCTGAAGTAGGGGTGATGTACCAGGAAGACCACCAACTAAAGCTTTGGATTGACTCCTTAGTCTGTAGTTTTAGAGCAAGTCTCCCATGCTGTGGGAGGTTTAGCACCCTATCTGTTAAAGTGAGGGTAAGAACAGACTTCACCTCACATAGCTATGATGATAAAGAAATAACAGCATATATGTAGAAACCCTTTAGAAAATAGAAAATGCCCTCTACATAGCTAGTATTATTTTATTTCTTTCATGCTTTCTGGTTAATTCAAAACCCGCCATTTTTATTTATTGTATATAGTCTTTGAAAACACAAACCTGGATATTAAGTAATGTATAAATTTCACAAAGGGTTAAAGTGGGCCAGGAGCAGTGGCTCACGCCTGTAATCCTAGCACTCTGAGAGGCCAAGGCAAGAGGATTGCTTGAGCTCAGGAGTTTGAGACCAGCCTGAGCAAGAATGAGACCCCATCTCTACTATAAATCGAAAGAAATTAGCCAAACAACTAAAAATAGACAAAATTAGCCAGGCTCAGTGGCGCATGCCTATAGTCCCAGCTACTCGGGAGGCTAAGGCAGGAGGATCGCCTGAGCCCAGGAGTTTGAGGTTGCTGTAAGCTAGGCTGATGCCACAGCATGCTAACCTGGGCAACAGAGTGAGACTCTGTCTCAAAAAAAAAAAAAAAAAAGGCTTAAAGTGAATCAATAGGAAACCTTGAGGCTGTATGTACTGATATATTTAAATGCTAAAAGAAGTCTTTGCTTATAATTTCGAAATGAACAAACTATCAGCAGGATCTACCCTGTGTGTTCAGGCACGCAAAGCACTCCTTTTTCTTCATGGGAAGGGACATCTGAAGGATTCCTGGGACATCTTCTGATGAAGCATGCAGAAAAGTGACAGTGCGTTTCCAACTAACTGCTCCGAAAAATTGGTCAAAATATCATTGAGGTGTTTACAACACTTAAAAACTATATCTAATTTCCCTATTATGCTAAAGCCTAAAGTACATCACAACTGTTCTTTGTAATGGGAACTTGAGAATCACTCGTTCCAGGAAACTACTTTAGTCTTTTATTTTAGAAACATCACTCTCAGTCTTATATAAAACTTAAAATGGACTTCTGTTTGTCTAAAAATAAACGGAAATGCACTGTATCTTTTCCAAATGAATAGGTACATAATTGGTGGTGAACCTACTCACCGGGCTATGAGAGATTTTCTATAGTCAGCAAGGGAAGAAAGAGGGACAGAAGCATAATAGTTTAAATGCAAGAGAAAACTAGGCCAGTTAAATGTTTTTTTTCCAACCATCCTCTGAAACTATTTCTCAAAAATAGTTTCTTTTTCCCTGATCCAAGTCAGTCTGTTGACCGCTATGAATTTTTTTTTTCCTTTCTTTTTTTTATTATCTGCACTATCTTCCAGTATAAGACAGCTATGAAATTATGGAAGCACTTTTATTATAGATAAGCAGTGACTATGCCTCCTTCAAGAAATTCCATGTTGCCTTAAAAAGCTTTATTATAAGTGAGACAGTTAAAAATTCTTGCTTAACTTTATCTAGACAATTTAGGGATCAACTCTAAAGTTCCATCATAAATTCCAGATTTTTATGATTATACACCAGTTCAAATCTTCCTAGAGGTTTTCATTACTGATGTGTAACCACAGACTCTCAATGATGCACTCTCAGGATGCAATGATGCATACTTTTTGATGAAACTACTTTTTTTCTGGGTTTCAATGAAAGTAACAGTAAAAATGTCCATAGAGAAACCAGTTTAATTAGCAATCCCAAAACAGGAACAGACTGTTTGCTTTCAGTTTCTTTGCTAAATTTTGCTTAGGGGGACAAAGAATCTAATATATAACATAATCTAACCATTAAAAGAGATTCAACAGGAAAAAAAAGGGCCACTAACGTGAATAGTCCATCTTCTAAATTAAAAGCAGACATCACAACTACTAAACAGTTATTTAGACTGAAAGACTAAACTGGCTCAAACATTCCCAGGCCATAGATTATCCCATTAATACTTTAATTACTCAAAAAAAGTAATTAAAGTTATAAGTGTAAAAATCAATTGGTAAGAAGGACTTTAAGGTTTTTAAGTTATAATATTATTTAAAAAATACTAAATTCTTATCTTACATGCTATGAACATTCACAGAAAAAGTCACAAATCCCAAACTATAAAACAGAACACCATTGACCTTTGAATTCTGAAGAGTAAAGTTTTTTTTAAATGAGAAAAGTTGTTTTGTGGTTGTTTTTTACCATTAGGCCATAGATCTCAGAAGAACTCCGGACATTTGGAAGAATTTCCATTGGAATTCCAAAAAATCTGAAAGACAATAAGATTGGGTATTTAACACTCACTGTTTTAAATAAACATCTAGAAACATTTATATGTATTTAAATGCAAAAAATATAATTACCAATTAGAAAATAAATGTATTTGAGTATACAGTAAGATAGTAACAAATACATAAGCCAGCAGAACAACTATATGCTTAGACATTTAACATTCTAACTGTATGCAACCAAATCAATAAAATTAAAAAGCACATAGAACCCACAGTACTTTTTTAAAGAATATTAATCTTCCATGAAGAATAATTAACTTGGCCTGTTTATTATATATGCAATAATAGTCTCTCTTAACAAAACACACAATATAGACTTGTATATTGTAGTTGAAATATCAACAGTTAAATTTTGGTGGTCTAGTAACATCTGGAAACAGTAGGATTTAGGTTATAAATAGATAATGTATTGGGAAACTATACTTAGAGTAAAACACAACTCACTCGCAGAGCTCTTTATCCCATTCCAAAGAATGAATGTTAAAAAGCATCGTTCTACTTGCATTTGTTACATCCGTACAATGGACACCTCCATTGACTCCTCCTGTCAAACTCTAGAAAGAATTTTAGAAAAAGATTAAATTTGTACTTATTTGAAATTTAATTTACATATTGTTAAGAGCCCTAATCAGCAGCGGAGCACATAAAGTAAAAGAATGGAACATTTAAGTTATCTAGTTTTCAGCAGTGCTCAGTAGAAATAAAATATGAGCCACATGTGTAATTTTAAATTTTCTAGGCTGCGCGAGGTGGCTCACGCCTGTAATCCTAGCACTCTGGGAGGCTGACGTGGGCAGATCGATCAAGGTCAGGAGTTCGAAACCAGCCTGAGCAAGAGTGAGACCCCCCGTCTCCACTAAAAAAAATAGAAAGAAATTAATTGGCCAACTAAAAACATATAGAAAAAATTAGCTGGGCATGGTGGCACATGCCTGTAGTTAATTATAAGGGAGAGGGGAGTGAGAGAGGAGAAAAAGCAGGCTATATTATTGCAAGGACTTCCCCTCCCCACAATACCAAATCTGAGATACTGAGAGACATGGTGAGATATCCCAATAATATAGCATACTCAAGTCCCTAATAAAATGAATATAGTATTGGCAATGTAACTAACACACCTCTCATATACTATCAAATTTCTAGATCACATATAATTAAATGCTACATAAATTGTTTGTTATATAGTATTTTTAAGTATATTACTTTTATTATTATTATATTTTTTTTTTTTTTTTTTTTTGAGACAGAGTCTCGCTTTGTTGCCCTAGGCTAGAGTGAGTGCCGTGGCGTCAGCCTAGCTCACAGCACCTCAAACTCCTGGCTCAAGCAATCCTGCTAGCCTCCAAGTAGCTGGGACTACAGCATGTGCCACCATGCCCGCTAATTTTTTTCTATATATATATTAGTTGGCCATTGTTTTCTATTTATAGTAAGACGGGTCTCGCTCTTACTCAGGCTGGTTTTCGAACTCCTATCGAGCATCCACCCGCCTCGGCCTCCAGAG